CTACTCTGATCTTCTCTTCTTTTCTTCTTCTTCTTTCATCTCCCCCCACTTCTCTCCTCACCTTTCCTTCTTTGATTATAGGCTCTCCTCTCCTCTGCTTTCAATAGCTTTCTCAAGTCCTCTATGGCTTTTCTTCCCCTATTTTTTGCACCATGTATGTGGAGAGGTATATGCGTTCTATGACCTGGTTCGAACAAGGCAGAGTATACAGCCTAGTGGTAGCAAAGCAATTTATTTATCTCTCTGCCTAGCTTGACCCCTTTTTGTGGAAAACAGATTGCCTCTAAAAAGTGTATTTTCAGGGCAAATCCAAGGTCCTGTTTCATGCGCAGGTAGATATACCATTCCCTCCCCATCAATGCCATGTCAAGGTGTTAGGTTAAGGACCCCCACAGGTTCATCTTGCAAATACAGAAGGCTCTGAGAAATATGTTTTGGCCGTCGGCTTAGTCCTAACAAGAACAGCAGCCAGTGCGTGATCCATATTGAACCTGTGCAAATCCAAAATGGGTCCTTCAATTTCCTTGTGCATCCACAGGATTAGAAAATGTCAGGTTTGAGAGCACATGATTCACTGTCCACAGTCCAGGCTGCTGGCAAGATATGTAGCTGTTATATATTGTGTTAATTTATAATGAATGGCATGGTGAAATAAAAGGAAGGAATCCTTGGTGGTGGTCAGTTAGAGACTTAGGCTTCACCACTTCCAACAGGTAAGTATAAGTCATCTTGCTTTGAATCTGCAGTATTCTTATGTGATAGGTATTGAGTAAAGCCAACTAGGTAAACAGGCACAGTATACAGTAAAACCTGTATTGGCCAGGCTGTAGCTGTGATGTCACTTGACACAGTATAAGTGAATCTGTGTGCCTGACCCCAGCCCGATTGAGTCATGTTGAAAGTGTTGTATGCACATCTCCACAATGTGTGTCAGTAAGTAAAGGCCTCAGCTTGCTTTAAACTAATTGGGCTATGCGTTGAGTCGTCCAACCACCGTCTAGAGGCAAAAGGGGCAAAAAGCCTGCAATCATATCATCATCTTGGATGTATCACACAAACTGACTAAAGGATAAGGCTGGCAATATTCTATATCTCTTTTGAAAATACCAGAACCAACAATTCATTAAGTTCTTTCAGTAAGCTGTGACTGTTATGAGTCTCAATTGTGTCACGTTGATGTTGATGTCCAACCAGTGTTGATGGTAAAAGTATTCAATTGAAGCAGTCAATTTCTTAGTGAATGCCATATTGACTAACATGATCAACCTGTGTTCTCCTGTTGCAAAATCTGTTGTTTTTCTGGCACCAGTGCTGTAATTTGACATGTTCAGCAACGTAGTTTGTGTCAGGATAAACAACTACAGGCTGTTTTAGCTTGGATTTCTAGTCTCTGCCTCTGGTAAGTCAGGGGGCTGTCACTCAAAAACATACTTGTTCTCTTTGCTTCTCAAAACTAGATATGTTTCCATCAGTGAAAATGTCATCCCAAAATACGATTCCAGTTGATGCTACCGTATGGACAAGGATATATTTGACAGTCTTTTAGCGAGTATATACAGATGAATAAATGCAGCATAGAGAGGCCGAGGCTGCGGCCGCATTAGACATGCAACAGGGTATAGCCAGCGGGGACCATCCAGAACCTAAGCTTCCAACAGGCAGTTTGGGTGCAATGCTTCCTGGTACATGTAGGCCTTGTCGCAGGGCTCTAAAAGCTGGAGAACTCAGCTTTTTTGTCAATTTAGCACAAACCAAGGAATTCATTCTTTCAATTGACTAGATTAACCATCAGTGCTGATTAGACATCTACATAAAACATAAAATCTCCATTTAAGCTTTCGTTTATATTCAAGACATAAATCAATTTAGGCAACTACGCTATACTTTAATTTCTAAAAAAACAACCTAGGGGACTATTTTGAGTCAAGGACTTGATACGCTATTTACAGCAGGAGGACAGTGTATGTGAGATTGAGTCAAAGTGAACTATAGAGCCCTGTTTGATGTGGCTTATTAATGTGTTTTTAATAGATGTTAAGATAGTAATTATAGCAGGCTTTGCATACCCAGATGATACTTGTTAGTAGGATTATTAATTAGTGGTTTGGGTTCACAGGAATTGTTGACAAATATAAAATATACCCTTAAAGGTGCATTCACTCCCCTGGACTACAGTGCGTCCTGAGCCCAGCAAAACTCTATAATGGAGTCTTAATCATTTTAATCATGACTGGGCAGAAATTCATAACACATCTTTTCAGCATGAGAGCAATCACAGTGTAATCTCACACTACACTGATAACTAAATGGTGGTAATAGTCATTTGTTCCACTAATTAAAAGGCAAACAATATATCAATCACAATATAGGATGAATTACTTTTTATTAATTTAAAGCACATTTGCACGGTTAAAACTTTATTACAAATTAAACAGAAAAATCAAGTCATACACACTGCAGTAGTGTGATACTTCTGTTGTGTCATTACATTTTTCACTATATTCAGTTCAGTTATCACAACAGGAAGTAATCATATTGTGCGACATTTAATTTTACTCTGATTATGTCCTTAAGCTAGTGTTCAGCTTTTCTAAACCATTAGATTTTGAAGTGGAATAATCAGGTTTCATTTAATCTCCAACAGTTCCACTAATCAGACCAGAACCAACAGTGGATTTATCCCACTTAAATATTTCTGGCATCTCGGGGGAGTTACTTAGCCCCATCTGAGTTCAAATTGCTTTGTGCTTACCTGGCCACATTTCTATGTCTTTGTATGAACATACCCTTAGATCCAGTCTCAACATGGTACCTCCACTCCATACACAATTACATAATGATTGTGTATAAAAAGTTCTTTGATCCATCTTTCGTGTAGGATAAACAGTTAGTTCACGTACCTTCACCATCTGACGGAGGTGACAGTGAATTCTCCTCCTGCATTTGCTGCTCAGTATCTAGTGTGGGACAGCAGATGGCAAACCTGAAGGTTGTAGCCCCTCCGCTGTACCTGCATGCATTATTCAAAGCCCATTGATCACAGGAAAAGTCCCAGTGTAGCCACATTAAACATCCGCTGGCTTGTTTGTTTATGCCTTATTTATGCCTTCAGAAAACAGAGCATGGTCCGATACTTGTACAATTAGTGACCTTCATTTAACCCTGTGTGAATCCCCTAGCATTATGTAACAGCCATCATTTTATTATGTCACCTTGTTTTGCTACATACTGTCTTAGAGGGAAATACATGAATATGGAATGCCTGTCATCGACCTCTGTACATATTGTACACCATAATGCACTGTACAGCATTCTTGTTGGGCTGCTATGATTTATCTTGTAGTAGAAAGTACTTGTGTACAGTCAGCTACAAGTAAACTTTACTGTGGTTGAATGGGATTCAGTAAGCTGCATTTATCAATCTCATGGCTTATATATTTAAAACGGAGATAAATTATAATATTATTTTGCAAGTTCAGAGCATTTTATGTTGATTTAAGCTTCATAGGGTATCTAAGTCCAGTGAGGATGGTGGCTGTGCCCAGGCAGATGTAATTATGTTTGCATCACATTGACTTTTTTTCTCCTTTGTCAATCTGCCTGCTCTCTGCTCGCCATTCTGTTGAGCAAGGGAGCGTTGAATGTATCAGGGCTAAGCAAGGTCCAGACCCACTTTGATTTTCCTACGTGTACACACACACAGCTGCTTTAAGGCCATGGTGGTGAAGTTGGGGTCATGATCCGTGTGATCAATAGCTCAATAGCCAGCAGGATCTCTGGAGGGTCCAGATTTCACAGTGGGTGAAGAGAAACAATACTGTACTCCAAGGTTTCAACCCTGCCTGCAATGAGCTGCTCCTTTCTTTTTGGAAACTTAGACAATGAGAACCCTGTCTTTCTGAATGCATGGCCCTGTTGAACTACAACTACTACTGTCTTGTGTAACATACTGTGAAGTGTAAAAGGGTGTTAAAGTTTAAAAGCATGTATAGGTTTCGAAACCTATATGTATATTATACATATATTACATATTTAATTTTATATGTAATACACATGTCTGTGTTGTAATCCTAATTTGATTCTCAATCCAACATTTACAAAATGTCACTCTTTTATGAAAACAAGGTCCAGAGGTTTGAGTGTGTTTGAGTCCCAGATTTCATAACACTTGGGCCTACTCATCATTAGAACACTGTGACAAACTGACAAAATTAGCCTAATGAGGATTTTGAGTGTTTCAAATAACAATAGGTAGTAGTGAAAGGTAAGTGCTTGCACTTTACTTGAGCATTTATATTTTACGCCTGCATTTTAGATTGAAATAGTTTCTACTACCCTGCAGTTATTTGGTAGCTTTGGTCACTTTGCAGAATAACAATAAACATGATATTAAAGACATGCATTGTTATAGCTTTAGCTACACAAATGTATGGAATGAAATGCCTACACCCATTACAACATTTAAAATGCATGCTTACACATTGCATCATGCATCAGTAGTAGGAATCTAATTTTATAACATACAGTAATTCTGTATATATAACACTTTGAGAGGCAAATCTGCATAATAAGTACTTAAACTAATAATAATAATAATAGGTTGCATGAAACAATACCTTTGATTAACAATAGATAAAATGACTAATATGAAAGTAGTAACTCATAGCAACAAACCAGAAAATTATCATCCAACTCTGCACTTTCGGTCAGCTCTATGAAACATTAGCATTTAGTTCACAGCAGGCAGCTCTTTACAGGAAAAAAAGAGCTCTGATAAACCCACTATACACTACCTACCCAGCACCAAACAGCAGGGAGACAAAATTGACAACTAGCTGGTGAACATAATGAAGTTGATGGAGAAAAAAGGAGAATGAATATTGGACTTACATTCTTTAGGTCAGAAACACAACTCCAAATGAATGTCGGTCTGTCTGCTAGATGTGTAAATAGGAAACTATTTGCTTACATGTTTGTTCCATCACCTTTCTGTTACACAGAACCATCTGGGAAGTTGTCGTTGGAAAAAACAAATTCTCAGCAGGTGACTGGATGAACCATCTCCATCTATCACAGGTGAACTTCATCCAATCAGATCAACTAACCTAATAACATAGTCAGAGTCAGGTTTCCCATTGAGAAAAGCTCTCAGTGCCGTTCTTTGCTCATCTTTCAATGAGGATATACTCTCCAGTTCTAACTGATACTGGCAGCATCTAGGCTAACCCCTATGTTAGCCTAGATGCATTAAGTAAATAACTAATTTGAAAAACATATATCTCATCAGTATCCTTTACTATAATTTACAGTCATGTTCATCTTTTCAGGGCATGATCAGGTTTCCCCTATACAATATTAATGTGCCCTTTAAAGCAATGCACAAATCAATCATATGAATCTTATTGTACTTCAATGGCATTCTGGAGAGAGGAGCTTTCTACTCTGCCAACTATTAGTCCTTGCTGGCATTAAACAGCATTTGTTCCAATTACCACCAAGATGAATTGTGGACCATCTAATCAATGGCTTTCAGAGGATTTCTGCTGCTATGATAAAAAGGCTAAGATTAAGGGCTAAAGGTTTTTCTCATGCTCATCTGTCATATTGAAAACCTGAGGGATGATGAGAAATCGGTTAAGAGGAAGTGATGCCATAATGTCAAAGTGGTCTTAATTATGTCACAGAGACACGATGAAGGTCTAAACATAGAATTAAAGAAGTAAATGTGACATGGTTTGACCTACTGAATTGATGATTTTTGCATACTCATTTTATGGATTGAATCAACAGTACATTAGCTATGCCACTCATATGCAGATGATTATCCACGTTATCAGCACACATAAACTGGAAGATGCTGATGATCAGTGACATGTGTGTGCATTCATTAATCTGAGTGGCATTTCCTCTGACCAGATTTTAAATAGCCTGTTAATTGAATATAAGGATAATGTACGAGGATTACTGTTTATCATTCCCATGTTAATTACAGTGGAACAGCTAATTAACTAAACAGCCATGTTGCTACATGAAACAAAGTACACCCACTTCCCTCTAACATTTATTAATTTGTTCATCAATTTAAATAGATTTTCCATGTTGCATCATATTTTGCTTCCTTGTTACTGCTTAATGGTTTATTATGGCCAACCAATAAAGCATGGAAGGGAGGAAGTGAACTTCTCTGCACTATAATTTCATTTGCTGTATTTGGTTTTCTAAAGCCAGTGATTAATCACAGGGTCTAGGCCAAATTTATCACACTCAAAGTGAGGTTGATTATTTCATTATGGAATTTCCAACGGACAAAAAAGGAGAAAAAAGTCCTTGGTCAAATATGCTTTTGCCATTCTGTTTGCCACCAGCCCACCTAACAAACACTCCCACCCCCTCCGCATTCTTGTCGCCTCTCATTTCTCTGCGCCACCATCACTCTCCTTCCCCTCCTCTTCCTCCACCCCTCCAGGGATCCAGCACATATATAAATTACAGTTTTGTCACAGTTAATTAAGGCCATGGAGAATTAATGACACCGATGTGAAAAGAGAGATCCTCTTTGTTGTTATGATGATTCTATTCCCTGTAGCTCGGTGGTCAAAAGTGTTGGGGGTTGTTACTCAAAAAAGTCATGTATTACACATTGTTTGTTACTCTTGAAATAAGTAATTTACTTAATTATTCCCTGTGGAAAGTAATGTTACACTGCTCATTATTACTTTTGCGTTGCTTGAGATGTATTATAACATATAGACATATTTAACGAGCCAAAGTCTCTCAAACAAACTCACTCAACCTTGTCCATCTTATTTGAAGTGTTCACTAAAGAAGTAGTTATACCTCATGAGGAGAAGTCTCATCATGGGCTAGATGGTGTCCATTCCATGGATATTGTAGGTAAATGGTTCATGCTCCATTCATGTACCCGATTTCAAATTATTCAGAATGGCAGAACTGAGAAAGAACCCGAAACACAATGTAGGTAGGTTAGAAACATGCACTGACAAAAACACTGTTATTATACATCATTATTATTATAATCATATATAGCCCCATTTGAGACTGTGTCATCTGCTGCATGGGAGACAGTACAGTCCAACTGAGTTTAGAGAAGTAACTGTGTGCTGCTTTTTTTTTTATCAGGGATGAGGACTGGTAGTCCACAGAAAGTGTGCTCGAGACTTGATGTGTTGTGGATTTGGACAAACATAGGGACTCTATAAGTGTGTAGAAGTCCAAACAATTTGAAATCAGATTTCTCCTTTTATTCTCTTTGATTAGTTTCTTACTAAAATTCGCACACATTTTTCATGTTGTCATTTTAAAGAACAAATGTGTGGCAACTGCAAGGTTTCATATGATATGTGTTATATAAGTTGCATATTAATGCCAACCTTATTAATCAAATACAGCCCCATAAAAAGCAGGCATGATATAGTGTGTAGAAAGTTTCACATATGAATACTAAAGGAGTTGAATAGCGCACGTGTGGCAACAGAACTGATTTGCCTCTTGGAGACGGTGCTCGCACAAGAGCACGGTGATAAAACACTTTAGACGGATAAACCATTTGATTAGTCAGATTGACAGATAGAAACATAAATTCAGTCAGCCTCCCAGTCAGTCAGTCAGAGAGATCTAAAGACAGTCAGTCAGAGGGACGCATACAAAGTCAGTCAGTGGGTCAAGTCAGCGAGACAGATGGAGATGAAGAGATCAAAGTGGGAGAACTAGATAGAGCAGCAGTCCAGATGGCCATGGAGACAGATCCCAGCCCAAGTTAACAGTGGCTCAGCCAACACATTACCAGACAGAGACGTCTCACCAGCAGCCAACTGCCCCGCAGCTCAGCAGGCTGGTTGCGGATGCCAGCTCTTTTCAGTCTGGGAAATGGGTCAGACCAAGACAATCACGGTCAGAGTTTGATGCTGCTTGGATCTGTTGCACATTATGTGTCTTTTTGTTTAGGCTGATAGGAACTGGTACTGTAGATGCATGCGTTTAACATATTTACACAGTTTTCAGCAGTCAGCAGCCAGTCAAATGCAGCAAACAGCATTCTTTCTTATCTATATTAAAGCTGCATTGTGCATGCTTTTTATGTAGAAATACAGCCTCAGACAGCACAGCTCTGAGTGTGATTAGTACTGTGAACAGTACAAATACAGATTAATTGTTAAAATGTTGAAATGTTACATCACTCTTTAACTTTTCATGCAATATTTCAATTAGCCAGCTAACCTATAGATAAAAAAGGAAATCAGACATAAATAAAATTCAACAAATATTAAAAATACAAATGAACAGAGAACAGATAATAGCTCTTGTATTTTATACAACAAGGACCCAGTTTGCTCTCACTTGCTCACCTATTTTGTTCATCAGGAAGAGACATATTCAACTGCAGACTGAACAGATTTTTTTATGAAAATGTAAAAATGTAAAGTCTCAAGCTACTTTAAATTAAGTAATAGTATGAAACCTTTGAAAAAATAACAAGCTTCCTCACCAAAACATATTAAAACAGATGGGATGGTGAAATAGAGATCACAAAGCCAATCTGATGTCCCTGTAACCCTCTTGAATGTGGGTTGGGCACGGTTTGACCTGACTTTGGAGATGGGTCTATCTCAGACTCAACTTAGCACAACTCGATGCATTTAAAATGGTAATGGCATTCTTTGACTTCTTTGTCATGGCCAAAATGGAAAATCCCTACACTAATGGTATCCTTGTCATTTCCCTCCAGTCTATTGACCTAAAATGATGTCTTTAAAGCAATAGACTCAAGAAAATCTTGGAAACTGAAGGGACATTTGGTGTGCTTCACTTGAGTTGTAGTTAACGCTTTCTACAATGGCCGCTGTTAGAAACAGTTAAAATACATAGTCTCCTCACATTAGGAAGGAATGTCCAAATCTTTTGAAAGTTCTTGATCTTCTGCCTTTCTTATTGCTTTAGTGCTGCTTGGAAAGCATGTACAGTTTGGTTGATTACACTATTTCCTTAAAGTATCCTTAAATTAAAAGAAATAGTAACAGGAATCCACTGCAGTGTCTCCAGCTGAACACACAGGGAGAGCCATGCTGTCCAGAAGAACTGACATCCCTCAATAGAAAGTGTTATTGGTCAAAATGCTGTTTCAGAGGATTTAATTAGTACCGGTTTCAGTGGGCAGCGTTAGTGCCATACAGTTTAAATGTTGATTCATAGAATTTCATTTGTACTGGTTTTTAGTGGGCTGGTTAGAGTTATGTGGTACAGATGCAGTATCAGAGAATTTCATTAGTATTGGTTTCAGTGGAGAGTCTGCAGTGCTGCTTCAGAGGCCGTTCCACTCTGCCAGCAAACAAGTCTGGGAGAAATGCTGATCTAAAGCCTGTATTCAAAGAATGTTTTTTAGAAGAATTCATGAGTCTGGCCTTTCGGATCCTGTAACGAGTGACTATGGATGCATAGTCCTTGATCCTCAAAACTTGTTAAGCATCTTGGCATCCCACATCTCTCTGAACCCCTCAGTTAAAGTCCTCCCCTCTCCCACTCATTCTCTGCTCATTTAATCAACCACAGCCTCATATTTTTCCTTCAAATCCCAGATACACTGATCACTTGATCTTTTTCTAACTGTCTGAAGACATCTATGCTTATGGCACCAGAATATCAGCTATACAAACATTTAAAAGGATCGATGGGTGGAGAAATCTCTCCAAAGAGAGGACTTGGCAGTGGTCAGTTCTCTAAGAGGGTAATTTAGAGCTCAAGGCCATTCTGGTGAAAAAGGATCTTATGTTGAAGAGTGTGATGTGCCTACAATATAATTATTAGTGTTGACTGAAAATAATAACTGTTGACTGTTTTAGAGCTTTCATTAAGAAATCATGTCAGGACTACTGTGTAGTGGAAAACCATTGCTGTTTGTTTGTTTTTAAATTTAACATACAGATCAAATTTAGTTACCCAACAATTAGAGTTAAAGCCGACATAAGTGTTTAGGGAACACTAGAATTTTGTTTAATGATCATAGATTACATTTCATCAGACTAGATGGTGCATCCCAAGCAATGGCCTATACCCACTGG